CTTAACATCTAGCCTGTCTCCAAAAGTAAGCACATTTCCAAGGAGAATAAAAATGAGGCAAGTACATGCTACTTTTCCTGTATTACCTTTCCAGTCTCCAGCTACTCTAATGGATTTTCTGAACCAGATCCTGTTTGCACGTATGCATTCTGCGTTTGTATTTGTTTAGGTATCCACCCTCAGCGGACTTCTCATCCCTTGAACCCATGAGCAATTTTCCTAACAGTAACATACATCTGGCAAACTGTTACTGCGATGTAGTGCCCATTGCATGAAGGGATAAAACCCCTACTCTTCCCTTGGGAGACATCTTCTCCCCCCTTGTTTGTTTGGGTTTCTTTTTTGAGCAAAAATGTAACTACAACTGGACTCTACGTTATTTTTGAAAAATGCTTTTCTTATACTTGCTGGGAGATGCACCTTCTTTCATTCTGGGCAAAATAAAAAAGCATTTGTATTTAACTAGTAAAAGTTTACTTCAGCCTCTAAATACTTGCAAACAAACTTCAAAATAGATCAGCTATGTACTCACCACTAGGCATGGTTCAAAACCCGCAAGAATATACATTTTTAACACAAATTTCTACCATTTCAGATTTACTTTACATAACCAGAATAATCTAGTACAACACAAAGCAGAGAGAAATAAAAAAGGATTTTAAAATTCTGTTTCTTAAATGCTAATTTGCATTATTTCTCCTCTACCGCATTTTTTTGCGTTTTAAAAAAGAATTTGTTTATTCCCTAATACTGAAATAATCCACCAGATTTTAGACCGTAGATGAGATCTAGCAGGTATAAAAATTCGTTATATACACCAAATAGTTTTACAAGAGTTTCACAGGGGTAAACTTAATGGTCCTACCTATTAAATACCATATGAAAGCATGCACACAAAATTTCCGTTGAAGTCCTCCTGCATTAAAGTTTGTTTTCACACAACTGTAACTTGTCAGAGCATTTGATGCTGACTCTTTAATTCATACTAACACATTGGAGAAGAAGAGGCTCCTTTGCATAAAGTTTTCTGTACATGAAAAAAAAAAGCAGGACAGAGAAAGACAGAACAAAATCCACCTGTTTTGGCAATTCTGAAAAATTTTATTTAAAACACGTTCATTACCATTACCTTTAAGCTAATTCACGTGATCATAAACTAGCTTAACACTAACTTAAGTAGGCAATTCTAAAATTAAACTATTCAAAGAATTTCCAGTAAGCTGAAGCAGTTCCAGCATTCAGAGATCTCAGAAACAACAACGGAAACAAGGAGCAGCTGCCCTCCATGCCAGTTTTTTCGTTTACAGCACAACTCTGCATCTGCAACCAGCTGAGCCTTTATTTCACATTATACTATGTTCTTTCACTGTATTTCACCTGAAGCGGGCTTCTGTAATGTTTCTTAAACTGGAAGATGCATTTTTTTAGCGACAATAAGAGGCATATTCAAGAGAAGGTGGCTGTTCCAAAGAGGCAGAAAACTGAAATGGGATAGGAGATGCTGCCAGGAGACGATGCCACAGGACTGCTAAATACAGGGGAGGATGACAGGGACACGGAAAATACCTGCAGTGAACAGCCCATTTACCAGACAGCACAGTTAGCAAAAGCAAAATAAAAACCTCAGTGAGTGGGGACTGTGCCACAAATTCACTCAGCCCATTAGCAATTAGCATGGAAGCAGCACCTAAAGACGGCTGAAGTGGAGGCTCCCTGAGATACCTAGACTTTTTTTGGAGAAGCTCCCTACCACCTACATATCTCCCCCAGATCTCCAGCACATGGGTGCACGCACTCAGGAACATCTGAGGAGCAGCAAGTGCTACTTAAGAAGAATGTGCACATTACAGAGTGAGAGGAGAGCAAGAGAGAGAAAATCAGGTGTTCAGTGAAAACACACTGAGATGGGAAGGTTCCTGCACTGATCAAACAGGCAGGCGCCATTCTGTACTAACCTGGCGTGACTCCCTGTCATTCCCATTTACTGTACATAATAGGAAATGGATGGAACACATAGAAGGAACAGCTGAACTCTGAGATTGTGTTCTGATTCCATTATAAAATCAGTCTGAACAGAAACATTTCTCACTCCATAAGAAAGTACATTAACCACTCCAAATAGAATCCCATGGAAGTCAAATTAGCATCAGAAGGAAAACTATAACAAAGCTTGTGCTACAAAGGTCAGTAATGATTAAACTTTGGCTTTTTTTCTTTCCATTTTCAAAGTAGAATCACGGTTTCACATCCTATTAACAGATCTGCAAACTCCAACACACCCCATCTTGGCTGTATTTCATAGACTCTAATCCTAGTGATGAATCATGCAAAAGTTATCATGCAATGTTAACAGACCTTCTGCTTTCCTTCCCCTCCTCTTAAGCCCAGAAAGTGATGTACACACATACATGAAGAACATTAAGGCTGAAAGGTGAATGCAGTCAACATACAGAGGGCATCCTTAGGGCTAGAAATTCCCTAAATTACATTCTAAGCATAGAAATGCATTTCATAACAGAAAATACCTCCATCTCCTAGCTCTGCTGCTTTCTTAAGACATAAATTCAGATTTTGAGACATGAAAACCTGAAATAGTAAGTTTGCTTTCATGCCATGTTTTTCTTATGAATTGTAAAAATATGAGAATCAATAAATCAAACAAAATCAATAAATTAACTGAATTTGCATTTTTGGAGGATTTTACAGATTGTGCTATTTCAAGAGAAATAAATTCCAGCTATCTACATCTGAAGGAAACCCTAAGAAGACTTAAGATGGCAGCAGAGGAAACAGAAATAGATTTCTAAGTCTCCAATTTGAGAAATTCTATGAAGCTGTGCAACAGGCAGTTCATGGCGGAGGAGAAAGGGTCAGACTCTCCCCAGCCCTTCATTAACTAAGAACCCATTCTCTGACTCTCTTCTCTCTTGCACCTTGCAAGAAAACAGGAAATGAACAGATGTTCTGTGCAAAAATGCTAATCCATTATAGGACAGAAAGATGACAAGTTATTAAGCACAATCTTTTCAGAACTATATATATACAAACTCCGTAATTTATCCAAATTCAAAGCTCCCTTCCATGAACCACGAAATTTAGTGCAAAAAATGAAACCTCAAATTCAGCCACAGATGCATAAATACCCACATCCTCATGCTTCCCAACAAATACACATCCACACTAAAGCAGCTTCTAGACCCAGCATGTACTATGGGCAAAACGAACAACAAATTTCTAACTTCTGGTAATTTACTGTATCATCCTTTCGACTTCCCTCAGTTTTGTTTCAGCTGCAAAGTCTGCTGTCAGTTTTATAAATTATTTGAAGCTGAGATCCTGGAAAAGCAGCCTGAAGAAAATCTAAACTCTGTGAGCCTCAGCAGATAAAATATTGTCCCATTCAGGTCAGGTTACCCTTCTCAGCTGTATGCTCTTCCAATATCTTATATGTCCCCCATCCCATGGGATTATACTTGAATAATCTCATTTCTTTAAAAGGTATCTATTGAAAATAGGCAGACAGGTGCTGGTTCAGAGCAACATGATAAAACTGATGATGTCCCTGCTCATTGCAGGGGTGAGGGTTGGACAAGATGACCTTTGAAGGTACCTTCCAACCCAAACCATTCTATGATTCTGTCTGCCTGAGAGAATAAAAACCAAGAGTCTTCAGTGACATCACAGATTTCAGATATTCAAGTCAACAGAGGAAACCTATCTTGTGGACAAGGGACATGGCTCTTTCTTCCCTGAACATCTGCCTACCTCAGGCTGCAACAGCAAACCAAGAACATTTATTCAACTCTTCCCTATTTTGGAAAGAAGGCAGGTGTTTTACCTCCACTAAACTGAAGAAAGGCTTTTATTATCTCAGTTTATAAGGAAATTCTTGTCATAGTATAGCCAACAAGTAAACATTTCCAACGTGCATGCAAGGGAGATTACAGCATCAAACATCTGCATAGTGTAGAAAGGCAGACTGCTGCAGTCACACAGTGTCCCAGTTATATAAAGGACATACAAAGCACTTCACCCTAGGAACACCCAAAAAAAAACCCTTTCTCAGTAAAAACAATACACAAGAGTCTCCAGAATTTTTTCTTTCCCTTAAGATTCAAGCAATCAAACCTCCCAAACTCACAGAACAGAACATCAATAAATGATCCTTAAAATTTCCATTGTTCACCACTGTAATTAATACAGTAATGCGATTACGTGATAAAATACTACTTCATATTTTATCGAACTCTCAGACTGGATCAGCCATCACACCGAGTTTAGCAGAATTAATGAAGCTTGTGTTTACCCAAACGGTCTTTAGAAAGACACTGTTACTGTCCTTACTGCAAGAACAGCATGCTGAACAAGATATGCCACGTATTTTCTCGAATCAATCATTACTTCAGGTTAAAAAAGACAACCTCTGGAAAAATCTGATTTCAGCATATCTTCAGTGGCCCTCAACAGGCTTCAAGAATATCAACAAAACCACTCCTGGAATTTACTACTGAGTAAGCTTTAACTAGTATCGTAACAGGCATCTAATTTCAACTATAAGATTTTGCTCCACAGCAAGTCACCATTTCATATCACACCTGAAAAACAAAGGTTTTAAGACTGCAAATACAATTAATCTCCTACATCTAGACTTACCCTGGAATAATGTTTCAGACTACTAATAAAATGTTAACCGAACTTTCTCTGCCCCAAAATGTTTCTATAGAAGAAAATGATTAAAAAAAAAACCAACCACTTGACAGTCAAGAAGTCTTAAATGTTTACATCTTATAGCTACCTAAGAAAACTAGAAAGAGAAAATGCAATGCACAAATAATCATGCACACAGCACACTTCACAGTCAACATACAATATAAAAGCATTCTCTCACTACACATCCCAGAGACAACTAAAAAGACAACTTATGAATGCCATCTGCTTCTAGTGCCCCTATAACAATGAACAAAATGCATGTATTTCAAAAATAGAGCAAAAAGTCTTACTCTGCTATATCAAGATATCCACAGGAAGCAGCTGCATGTAGAGGTATCCAGCCTTCATTATCTGGTTGATTAATATTTGCTCCATTTTCCACCAGAAATTTCACCATATCTACGTTATCATCTATACAAGCCTATAAAGAAAGAAAGATTTAAGAGGTAAGTTCAGATTAAAGCTGTTCGGCAATACTGTGCATCTCTAAGCAACATTTTCAGGAAAAAGGTAAGTATTTTCAGGTCTGATGAGGGATTAAGGTTTATTTGTTGAGGTTTGACAGGAAGAATTTGAGAGAAAAGCAGCAGGTATTACAGATTCGTAAAAAAATCCTTAAATAAATTAATTCAAACAGAGTTTAACAAAATCAGCAAATATGGTTTCCTCGGATACATTTGTTCTGGTTTTCTGAGAAGCCACTTACAATCCCCACTGCAACCTTGTTCTCCAATACAAAGTGGTTCCCTTTATAAAGCCCCCAGGCCCTCGCTCCATCCCAGGCCCAGCTCAGTCACTTGAGTGGGTATTACAATTGATTGAATCAACAGCTACACCATGAATTTGCGACCAAGAGATGGGGAGCAGTTTGGAAAACAATACCACAATGTGGTTTTAATTATAAAGCAGTTGAAACCAAGGAGTATGGAAGAAGATACTATGTTGCATTCAACACCCCCCTGCTGTGTTCTACTGCAGCACATTCTATACCACCATACATCTCTTAACAGTCTATTAATCACTGCTGTTCATAAACTTGAGCATCAATTTGGCACACTGCAAAAAATATGATCATGTGTTCACATCTCTTAATTACCAAGCAAACAGTGTTGCCCAGATGCAAGAACCACTGCCGTTCTCCAGATCGCCATCCTGACTGGCTCCTATTTTTCCTTTCTTCTCTGCGTTTGAGTATTTTTCTCACAGGGTGCTCAGTTAGTTCTCTTGCCAACTTCCATACTGCTGCCCTTAAAAGGGCAGAGCAACAGAAAGAAAAGTGCTTCTGCATTTCAGGACAGCAAGGACTCAAAACAGCCAGACCCCACAAGACTGGTATTCATTTTTTAGCTTAATAAATCAACAATACTGCATAACCAGAAGGCTGAAATGAGAACTTTTACTGCTGGGCTCCTAAATCCTTCTAGAGAATTATGCCTCTAATTAAATGCAATTAAGGTATAAACTTTACTTTTCAGAATACTTCTACAGCAATAAAAACTGAAAATCAGATGCTGCTTTATTATGACAAAACCCCTCAGATTTCCTTACTTAAGTAACTGTGACTTCCAAGATGAATCCCAGAGCTTTCTTCTATTCTGTAGTGCAGAGGCAACAAATACAATGTAAGGACGATGTGTTGCTGCCCCATTTAACCAGCCAAACAAAACCAGCACCAGATTACCCCTCTGACTCATTTGACTCATCAGCTTTAATTAGGTATGAACTTAAGACTTTGTTTAGAATGCAACACAGAACTTTTTAAACACCAAGTCCCATCTCTACTTGTTCATCTGTAAACTTGCAGCTAGACTGCAACTAGACTGCAGTACACTGCTTGCATTATTTTTCAATTACAAGGAAAAACACATTCTTGAGTGAAAACACTCATAACCCTTACTACCTTTTCAGGTATTCTTGAAAACTTCCTTCTTAAAGGATCTTTTGAATTATCTTTTTAGTCATATGCATCCCTAAAATCAGCAATTCCTTCAATAAAATTATTTACTAACATACTCCAGCAATAAAGACTAGAAATTCCTCAAGCATACTGTCTCCGATTTCTTCCAGTGATCATCAGTGTACAATGCTTATATGCTCTGAACAAGCCTGGAAAGAAAAGAATTGCCTCTCTTTGCAAGACATTTTGTTACTTAAATGAAAAAGAACTAAATGCAAGACATCATAACTCGGTTCAGGAGGAAAACAAATTCAAGAAACACAGCTGTTTACACTTAAAAGAATCATTAACCTAGCCATATTTCACACATGTCATATTTCCAGTTTTTTGGATATCCAATTTGCCTAACCATTGATATTCTATGTGTATCTTAATATCCACTAGCTTATAATAAGAAAATACATTGGAAAGCTTTGAAATTGCCTGAGCATTCAAAAATTTAGATTAATACTACATTTCAACATGCTACATACTTGTAAAATAATTTAAAACTTATAATCTGTGAAAAAAGGGTATCTTAGAATTGATTAGCACTATTAAAAACAACAACAAAAAAAAGCCGAACGATCTGGTTGTGACACAGCCCAACACAGAACAAACCTTATCCATTTTTCAAGTATACATAAGAAAAGCTAGCAAAACATACTCATAAAAATACAGTTGCTAAGTGAATCAAAGGCTTACATATGCAGCTCATTAAAAGACATATGACTAAGTGGCTAAAAATATTTGTCCAAATTTGGGCAGTTTATTGTGCCATACATGGCAAGGATCAGGAGAGCTCAAATGCACTTCGCATGCATTATCAGAGATTGCACATTCATGACAAGCAAAGATAAACAATGTGAGATTATATATATTTGGATGACAGAAGAGTAACTATTAAGATAATAAAAGAATCTACTTGCTTATGCAAATGGGAGAGTACTGGCATCACTTGTGATCACACTTGTGAGGTTTAGATGATGTTCCTCATAAGTGATTACGCAATCTGAATAACTGTTTTAACAATTTTACTATGGAACAACAGAAGCTGAAGCTGATGACCTGGAAGACAGTGGCCTAATCTAAAAAATATGACTTTTGAGCCTCCTTAAACACAGTTTGCTCATAAATGAGCCTTGTACCCAAAATATTTAATAGAAAACCTACTGTAGCCTCCAAGAAGGTTATTACCCATGTTAAGGTGAAGAAAAGCAAATGCAGTTAATCCTACTGCTTAAGAACACGTATATAATACATCTATTTCTCCTTGTGTCCTTCTTCCCCTTAACAGCACAAAATGCAGGTGTCTAATGGACCCTATCACTCTCCTCTGAGTGACACCTCTGACTGAGACTCTAAGAAAGACACCTCTGACTATCAGCAGGTACCTTAAGTCAGAAAGCCAAGAAACAAATGTTACAGAAGAAATTTTATCTTCATGTTTTTACATTTCTGCTCTGCTTGTCATTGCACTATCTTCGTAGTCACTTCTAAAAGCAATATTTATCAAGTGCCAGAAGTGCCTCTGTTGTTAAAAGACTGGCATCTTGGCCCCAAAAGGCCTGTCAGAACAGCACGATAAACTTAAAGCAACAGCCTCCAAAAAGTCTGCCCTTGTAGACCTCAGTGTGAAAGTTACTACACAGGAAAAATCAACATACACACAAGATGTAAATAACAAAAGAGTTCCACTGATGTTAAGTAGCTTAAGAAGATAAATTCCTATGATGACTTCTACTTCTGCCCTACTTTCTGCACAAAGGACAGCCAGCTACAGGCCTTCCTCTATCATGTTTGCTACAATCATTCAAGGATTAATCTTGTTTTTTTGGGTTCATCTCCCCACCCCCAGTCTTTCCCTTCATGGTCCTTAGTTCCTACCTAGAGTCTCAGTTACCACAACAGGTTGATCTAAAGCTCTTCCTGAGAGTTTGCTAACCACCACATCTGTAGAGTGCACACACCAGCCAGCTCCAGGGGCCAAAAGATGAGCATGGGAGCTCACGATCAAGACTGCCTTCATACCATGCACTGGTTCTGTCTCTCAACCCCATTCCCAGCCTCCATAAATGGGTAGAAAGGCAGCATTTCTGCATGAAGCACTCATTACCCTGCCAAATTCGATGGAAGTTAGCCAACGGGCCCTAAACAGAACAAGAGCTGGACAGTCCAATCATATAAACTTCGCTTCCTTTGGGAACTAATTTAGAAACTAGGCTAATTAGTCATGAAGGAAGCAAAACAAAGCAAAGGTGATAATACAAAGTCTGGTTACCTTTTCTGATAAGAAGAGAGATGAAATCTCATAGGAAGCATATTAAGGCCCTGGAAAGAAAACCACTTTCTATTTGTACAACAACCTGAAACCCAGACTGCAAAGACCAGCAACGATCAACAGTGCCCAGCTCCCACACAGACCAACCCTAGGTAGGTCCAACTTGTCCTGGAAACAACATGCCTATGTTAAGTGAAACAACACTTTAAACTTCCCTGAAATACTTTCTGATCACTCAGAAGGGGATCACCAGATGCCTCCTAACACACCAGATGTTAACTGTAATTCACTGTGACTTTGTATCCCAGTGCAAGTGGCATGTGATCTAGCTGGCTCTTATTACTATCAGGTGTAAAGTACGTAGGTGAAGGGTAGTCCTAAGTTAGTAAGTAACCTTAAAAACAGATAGCTTCAAAGATAATGAGATGATGTCATCTAATGAGGTTTAGATGTTCAATTTTTCTACCAATATTTTCTAGAGAGATTAAAACCTACCTTTTACTGTTACCTGATTAGTACCCTGATCTATTCCACAACATACTTTGCCTCTAAGAGTAGAAACTAAACATTATATCTGTCATCACATTTCATTTTTCCTGAGAATAAAAATGACACTTAGTATGGAAAAGAATCAAAAATATGAACATGGAATAATATGTTAGACTTAAAGGGATAAACCAAGCCAAACAACCGTTTTGAATTCCTGTGGGAATGCTGGAAACAGGAGAAAGACCTCACGCGGTGTCCTGGAGAATAGTATATCCCTTTGATTTATCTAGTGAACCAAGTCCAGTGAGTCCAATGGAACTAAGGAGGACATTGACATCTTTGTTAACATACCCGAAAATCAAATTAACGGACGGCATCCATACCTAGCAGCAGAGCTGGTTAAAAGCAGCTCTTGCTCTCTTCACCCTGGATTGCTTGTTCCCTCTGCCACCATATACCACACCGTTATAGCTTATGCCGACACACTTTGCTGAACTGGATCTGAAGTGCATCAGAAAAGCAATCAGAATTTAAAATTACATAAAATAAGAAAAGGACAGCAATATACTATTATCTGTATCTGATGAAAGCAGAATTATTTGCTTTGATTATCTTAAAATGGTTTCTTACATTCAGAGAAGCCTTGTTCTGAAATTCATCCTCACATCCTAATTGCACTGAGAAACAAAAT